TCCGGCAACGTTGGAAGCGTTGACGCCGTCCCATGACGCCGAGTCTGGCCAACGACAGGCATACGGGCAGGTGGTGGATGATGTTCGGCGTTTCCATGTACCCAAACACATATCTTGCCTAAGGAGGTGTACAAGCCAGGCGTGACGTCCAAAGTTGGTTTACCCGAGCACGAGGGTTCACCCGTTTTCGTGGTGGCCAAGATGCCCAGGCTCAAGACGCGGGAAGGAGGACGACGGTGTGCGTTGGTTGCGTACGACGTGGGTGCTTCGTAACGGTAAATGGGATCTTGAGTCTCGGGATGAGGAGCTAAGCAGCTCCAATAACGTTGTCAATTACTGGGTGGATCAAGCTGTTTCCTGTTCAGGAAGGCCGGCAAGGGACCAACCCTCCGCGCGGCCAAGGCGGATTCTCCGAAGCCCGCCGTTGTTCCGGAACCCAAAGACACCACCTGAGTCACTTAAGTTTGACAAATGGGTGTGCAAGGAGGCAGAAGGTATCTTGGTGAGGTATCATCCTTGCCCCCGCAGGAAACTGTTCCAGCCCACCGGCACGAACCAATGTTGTGTTGATCTCAACCGGATCAGTCAAGAGAGAACCACTGGGATCCCGTTGGTGGGACCCGCAAGCTCCCGGACCAATCCCTGGCGGGACGTTCCTCCTCACCCGGAACACGACCAGTAGGACATCGTCGTTGGCCGCACCCCCCCCCCCCCCTGCGTGCTTATTTTCTTCCTGTTCCGCCCGGGATGCATGTCACCACTCACGGTCCGCAATGGGGGGTTTTTGACGGTGCTCAAGGCAATAACTTCCCTTGTCCATGGAGGGAGTCCTACCCATTTCGAACGGCTCAAGACTGACAAGAAGCAAATGAAACATCTACCATATATGCAAAAGAACGACATTTTGCGGGACACATGGTGTGCATGCTATGCGTCATGGAACCACAAGAAGAACGATGTCGCGAGCACAATGGTACAGGTTGAGTTCCTCAGGCAAAACGGCAAGAAAGCCAGGACGACGTTTTCCGTACCCGGCCCCAATTGGATCTTGCTTTGATGTACACATTTCGTTTCAGGAACGCCCTACATTGGTCTTGGCGTGTGCGGAGATCAAGAACCATTTCGCTAAGGTGAAGGGAACGGGGAAGATCAATTTGATGACCATCACTGAACAGGAAGACTTCAACATTGGAAAGTACGGGTACCGTGACACCCTCAAAGCCCTTAGGTCGAACAAGGATACCATTTTCTTTGCAGGTCCATGCGCTGGGGGGTTGGCGTGGAACCGACTCAATGAGTCCAAAAAAACACTGCGCAAGATCGAGCAGAAGAAGGACCATTTTCTGGAAACTGTTCGACGCTGACTGGTTGTGCTTATTGGAACAACAAACGCATGCTCGACCTCATGTCAGGAACCGATTGCAGACACTTCCATGTCCATGGGTGTATGTGTGGAGTTGTTGAACAGTACGGGGGGGGGGGGGGCAGGGATCAAAAAACCGGGTCGTTTCTATCGTGGAACCTCGGGGACCTCGAGCTCAAATGTGATGGATCGCACGATCGTGCCCCTTGTGCGGGACGGGAAACCAAGGGAACAGTAAGTTTATTCTCCGTCTCTCTGCCGCCGGCTCGTAGAGTACTGCATGCATGGGTTCAGGACATGTCGGTTTCAAGGCATTTGCAGAGCAATCAGCCTGTCAGCACATGATGTTGATAGTCGCAAACCCATCATACAGCTAGCATTGTGTGCCATTTCGGTTCATCGTATTGGTGCGAGCAGTGCTTTGCTTTCTGATGGTATTCAATCCAACGGGAAGTGGGAATGGGGGTGAGTTCCGAAGACGATCGTGTGAAGGAGGAATCGCTTGACCTCCGGATCCGATCGGTCAATTATTCAACGACTGTGTGAAGGGGGAAACGCTTGAGTATTCCGGCGGCATCCTATCCACAGACGACTGTCCCGTACCCCGCGCCCAAGAACACAAGCTCGTGGATGTCCGAATCCGGAGGCAAAGACAATGGTTTAACTGCTGAAGGATATCGCGGGAGAAGAAGACCCCATCTGATGACGGCAAGAAGGCATCGTCGTCCTCGGCAAGTGGTGGCGAGTCGAAGGAGGAGAAGCCCACCAAGAAGGTGAAAGAGACGGGACCAACGCCCAAACGGTGTGAAAGGTCCAAGGCCGCTCCCAAACCTTAGCTCGTGCGCATGGCCCAATGACGATGGCCGAGCCCGATAATGATGCAGGATTTGGTGATTTCCTCGATTGGTGCGCGCGACAGGACCTGTCTCGGAAACCCTGCACAGGAAGGCCCGGAGAGCCATAACAACATTGTGATGTCATTCATTATCATCTGCCCAGTCACAACTCGTTCGCGGAGTTCATGAAAAGGGTGAGAAAAGATGGCAGCTCCATGTTCTACAGAGTCGTGACGCAAGGTCTCCCGGAGTATGCTAAACTCGGCATCTTGCCGCCGGATCACGCCGAGTTCGGTAATTATCTGGAGTATGGAACTGGACTGAGGCGATTGCCGAAGAATTTCATCAGGGAGATGGGACAGTGACAGAATGCCCTCTCCAGGGAAATGATTAAGTATTTGCGGCACGGGATCGGCAGGACTGTCGATCCCAAGATGATCGTGGGAGGAGGCGGCTTAGGATGGGTCAAATTCACCAAGCTGCTCGGTTGCAATCACTTTGCGTGGAGATGCTGCGGGAGGAGGTCCGACGGCACTCTACCTCCAGGTACTCGATTATCTGTTGGAGGGTGGAATCGGAGGACCGCAAACGATTCGGAGAAGTGTGCGCGACGTACAGCCACACTCCCTTCGTCTACCAGAACGTGGCCAAACACCTATGGCCGATCGACGAGGAATTTGCGGAGTACACCAAGGGGTGCTATTGCGTTATCCGAGTCGGTGAGCTGGAGGACGTGATGCGGTACGACCTGAAAACCTTGGGTCACGACGGCCGGGTCGAGAATTTCTTCAGCATCTTCGCGCCATGGGATGACAGGAACGTTTTGGCGGCCAAACAGTATCGAGGGAACTCGTTCCTCATGATCCTGTTCGTGCCCATGAAGTCTTTGATGGCGTATGGTGCATATGCTACGCAGACGGGCGCGGTCATCACCAAATCCACGGTTCCGTTCAAGGAGGTGATGGGGCTTGGTGCGCCAGGCCTGGCCACAGGCAAGTTCGCGACCTCAAGGTCGTGACGCTTCCGTCTTTCGTATGGGAGGTTCCGTTGGCGTGTACCGGTTCACGGACACCCGCGGACCTCCAGCGGTTGATGGACGTGGTCACCATCCTCACTGAAGCCCCGGAATGCACGCAGGAGAAGATCCACGGACTTCAAATGGCTGCGACTTACGCCATTGGGGATAGGAACACGGAGGAGGGTAACAGGAAGTATGAGAAGGCGATCGCCAACCTCAGGAACTATGTTGTTCTCAACTTGCTTGCACAGCACGCCGAGCGCTTTCACCTATTGCCTGATGTGCGATGGATATTTCATTTCTCATGGCATCATTCACTTTTCTGTCCCAGAAAGTACTCGACAGAATGTCTCAGCCCAAGAGGCGGCCGAGGAAGTGGACGCCAAAGAGGCCGCAGAGAAGGAGAAAGAAGGTGAAGAACTGCGCAGACAGCCCAAGCCGCGTGGTGAGTTTGGCAAGGTAGCAAAAAGTTCCAGGATGACGACGACGAGAAGTCCTCGCAACCCAACGAGGGGCGTGATTTCGGAGTTGGATATTCAGGAACAGCGTTCCCGAAGTCAAGCGCAGGGCCAGATGCGTGGACCTGCTCGTTGAGGCGGCCACGTGGCCATCATTCGATTGTTTGGGAAGTTTATTAACAACCTCAACCGGTACTGGGGGCCGAAGAATGAGACGGGTGACAAGGAGGTGGTGAAGCAGTGGCGGGAAGATTGGGTAGACACAGAAGTAAATTTGGTACACATGTTCCTAAATTCTTGCCAGTCGATGATTTTTTTCGACCTGTTTCAGTCACTCTCAAACAATGGAAGGGGCATTGGGGTTGAGTCCCGAGATGTTTTCAAGAGTGAAGATCTTCCGCACACGTACCACGACGCGACGATCGAGGAGCACGTTGATCATCCACTTGATGGGATTGTTCTGCCTAGAACTCTACCCGAACCTTCTGAACGTGTTCGAAACAGATGATCTTTGGAAGGATCTCAAGAAAATGATGGATGGCGCCATTCAAACGTACAAAAGTCCGAATTGCGTGCTGCGAGGAACAACGCGTTGGACAAATGATTCAAGGTCTTCAACATGGCCATCGGAAGCAGCTTCAACATGGACACCTATTCCTCCTTCCAACCCAACATCGAAGGAATCAAGGGTGGAATGCTTATCCCGTTCGACTGGATGTGCACAGCGATGGGGGACAAAGCAACCATCCAGGATTTATTATTGATGAATTACCACGGGATGAATTTCAGTCCTATTCTTCGTACACAACGGGAGAATTACAACAGGCTGAAATCTCAGGGACTGACCATTCAGACCCGGATTCCGTTGGCAGACGGGGAGGCCACAATTCCGCCGAAATTTCACTGCAGAATCGCAGTGAGTTTTGAATGTCTCACGACCTCAAATCCTGCAAGACAAAATGAATCTGAGTCGGCAAGTTGATGCGTTTCGGTGTGATGGTCCCAATAATGAAAATAGTTCCCACAATTTCAACGGCTCTGCGCAGAAGACTGCGTGGGGCGTGTGAATAGAACACGGGCCATCAACACTGAACATGTTATATACACCCATCATGGCCGTTTGGTTCAAGTAATATCGTTCATGGTTACTGAGGCGACTAGCATCGATACAAGGAAAAAGACGGCACGGGCAGGGTGAACGCCGACCAAGGATATTTATTTGGGCTTCGCGTTCTACCTGGTGGACAATGCATCAGTCTTGCCGGGGAAACACATTGAACCTGTCGGTTTCTCAATTCTCTTCTTTATTTGTGGCAAACAGCCAGGTGATGAGCCACTGATGGGCCGTAGCTGGCGGGCCAAGGCGCCGTGCCTTCGGTTGCTCCTTGTGCTTAAAAGTTTTCCGAGCCTCCCTTTTTGGATTCATGGGAAACCAAACGGGGTCGACAACCTTGAGACTGAGGATGTGAGGATGGTGGCGGCGCTTCGGTTTCTTGTTGACATCAAAAATAAGGGGGTTCTTGATGCCAAGGGTGGTGAGATTTTAGAGGCATCTCTGGAGGTTGAGTTCTTCAGGGATAGCCAAACATGGGACCCTGGTTGCTACGAGGGAGTCCTGTGCTGAAACTTGGGATGCCTTTTTGAGGTGTTGCTTGGTTGGGTTTCCCTTCACTTGTTCCTTGAGCGTTGATGTTCAATATTTTTGTCTGGGTGTTTCCCTCGTTTTTCCCATTGAGAGCCAACGCTCGAGATGCTTCCCTTGAAGAGTTTTCCTGCCTCTGAACTCAGTGCTCTAGATTTGGTTTGGCTGCCTTTCCCTTCAACATTCTCTTTGAACGGCAGCGTTTTAGTTTGTATTTGGGTTGTTTTCTCTTCAACTTGTTCCTGCAAAGGTCAACGTTTGAAATTGTGTTTGGCTGGGTTCCCTTCTTGTCTTTTCTACAATGTGAATGTTCTCGCTTTTGTCTGGCAGGGTTTTCCTTCACGCTGCTGTACATATACAGGTACACATGATATATTGACATACCAACATAGGAATACTTTTTTACACACACACATTTTTTCTCCAGCCCTCAGCCCCTTATCCCTCTGCACCCCAGGGGCAAGGAGAGCTGGGAGCAGCGGGCCAAAGCCTACAACGACGAAGAGCGCTGACAGCACCTGTGGCGGAGATCTCCCGCTTGGCCACAGCGCTGTTCGCCACGTGCCGCAGAGTCTCCTGAGCTTTCTAACCGGGGTGGCGAAATGGTTTTGCCGCTGGATGCCCACGTGTTTGCCGAGATGTTGCCACGCCGAGCAACATGGTGCAGCCTTGCTGATGGACTTTGAGACGTCACTTCTCAAGCTTTGGGGTTGGGTTGGAAGCTGGAATTACTCTTTGGGCCATATTTGTTTGAGCAGCCAGTTTGGTTCCGCTAGGAAAGGGAAGCCTGCAGGCAAGCGTTTCATTCCAATATGTTTCAGGCGATGTGTTTTTCTGCCATGCTATTTTTCAGTGGCAACTTAACACGGCCATAGCTTGGGAGTTGTGGTCCTGACTTCCTGACTTGTATTTCCCCATTGCGTGGGTAGTAAGTTTTCTTTAGCCACTAGGCCATGTTGATCTCCACATCGCGGCATTCCTTTGGCGGGATCAAAGCGGAGCCATGAAGCCAGTGAAACTATTACGACTTCACACACGTGATGGGTCCTTTTTTTTTGTAAACTTCAGCGCCCCTTGAACTTAGCGTTTTGTTTGAAACAGGTTCTCGTGGTTTCCAAGTGCAACTTCCTTTTGGTGATGTTTAAAGGAGACAAGACAGGGAACCCTGTTGCAATGCAGCCGAAGCGGCCAGGACCTCCGGTCCAAAGAGACTGAGGCACCGCAAGAGGCGCGGTGTGATCCACTTCAAGATGTCCTTGTTTGGGCCTTTGCAGAGGCCGTTTCAACTTTGTAGGGGTTACCAAGGGCAGACACTGAGGTCGCTTCCCTTTGAGCTTGACTTTGACGCCAAGATAGCAGGGACAGTGCTGGTCGTAATTGATTGTGCGACTTTGAGAACGGATGTGCTTGATGTTTTTTGAGGGCCGTTAGAGGTTCTCCTTTCGGGGAGTTGCGTTGGACGGGTCATGACCCTGGGTCAACGATTTGGCACTAGATCGGGTCATCACCTTGGGCGAGCGATTTTGGGTGTTCCTGGCGGTTTGGCGAAGTTGGTGGCTCGCAATAGGAGGTTTCTTTGGTTGACAAACACAGGAGCCACCTTTGGGCCCAAACTCTGTCATTTTCTTGTGGCCCACCACGAATTGAGCTTCCTTTGCGGGCTGTGAATCAAGGGGCAAACACACACACACACCTATATATTCATATATGGGATTTGGATCAGTGTTCAGCTCTTCTTTTGTTTTCTGACCACAACTCCAGGAAGGAAGCGCTCCACCCAAAAGTTGTCCGGCGAATGTTTTCGTGCCAGGCAGAGCTGGAGACAGAGCCGATCGAGGCAGTCTTTCGATTCGTCTCCGAGTATGCGACTTGATCTGAGATGAGGAATGACATATGACTCAAAAAAGACACATCCCACTGGTTTGGAGTTTTTTGGGAGTGGATGACGAATGATGACATGACATATGATCAAGGAATACTGACAGGGATTCCCTTGCTCCGAGTATCCTCTTTAGAGTTCTTTTGGCAAGGGACCAAGTCAAACAACAGAACCCCGGGGTGGCTCGGGGAAACTTTTGGACACCCAGAAGGATCCTTTTGGAGATGCAAATGGATCGGCACCCGTATGACTGACGCGTGAAGCACACCCCTCGCTCGTCTCGCTAGGCCGGCGTTGAGAGCTTGCGCCGGGGCGCCTGGAATGGGAGATCTTGAGTTGCTTGATGCTTTTCATTCGCCCTGCTCAGTGGATTCCACTGCTGAAATTTATGTTTGTGTGCTCTCACTGAAAATGGTCAAGCCCCAAAGTTCTCCAAAACTTTTTTCTATTGGACAGGGCAACTGGGTTTTGTTGTTGGCTGAGGTTGTTTAGGTTGCAATTGTAGGTTTGCAGTCTTCGCCTTGCTTGTTGCTTTCCTGACATGTCGAGATGGACTCACAATTTACTGCAGCCAAGGGAATTACCTGGGCGGATTCACCACAGCAAGAGAAACCTGAGAAACCCATTTCAGAAGGGATATTTTTTTGTTTTTTGCTTTTGCTGGCTCCATCGTATGGTTGTTGGTATTGATGCACATCCGGACAAATGTTTTGTGGGGTAAACGCAGTGCTCGGCGGCCGTTGACTGGACAAAGCTTCGGGACAGGCCCCCGGAGTTGCTGACCGGCTGGAACAGGAAAACCACCGTGTTGGGACGAGTACAATTGATGTTTTGTTCGGTGTGATGTTTAAAAGGGACATATGAGGAACCCTGAAAAGTCGGGGGCTGCTGATCTCCTGCTTTTGGAACCAGGGGTTTAGTACTACGGATTCCGGGCCGTTCATTGCATCAACATGAAGTTGGCAAACAAGTGAGGGGCGGGGGAGCGGGAGTTTCCGTGGATGCCAACATTGCAAGCAAACAATCACAGCCCCCCCCAACCCCCCCAACCCAACCCCCCCAACCCAACCCTCCCAAACCAACCCCCCAACCGGCCCCAAGTTTCTTCTGGTCGTTCGGCTCTTGAGAGGCCCTTCGGCTCGTCTGTGTTGAAAAGCGCTGAGGCCAGGAAAGGGATCAGCATCGCCAGCAGGGGGATTTCGAGAAGGCGGGGATTTGGAGTTTGGAGTTTCAAGAACCATCGACTCGGTTTCAAAAAGAAAAAGGGAGGTTGTTGAGTGGTTTTTTTGGTCCGGCTGAAACAGGGGCTGGCCCAGCGGCCCAACCCCGGCTAGAATACACCTCGTGCGGCACATTGCATGCGCAATGGGGTAAAGTTCAGAGCTGTGGGAATGAGGGCAGAGGATCCCCCTTGTCATTTTCCAGCGATATGGTAGCGAACAATATTCAGGGCGCCTTTCTGGACGCAGGGTCTCAGAAGGCACTCTCTCTCCCGCCTTCTTCCGCCAACAATTGGGTAACCAACTGTTGTCGTCAAGTCTTGCCGCAGCTTCGTTTTCCATGCCATGGAATTCCAAGACCCCTCTTGTTTCTCTCTTGCTCTAGAGGCGTGTAGCTGTTCCTTGTGAGTGCTACGCTGTGCCTGGCTTGCCGCGGCAACGCCTTCCCCAACGTGACGGCCAGGCTTGGTTACCGCGTTGGTTACCCCAGCTTTCCCAGGGGGCCTTTCGGGCATTTCTATGCCTCTTGCCAGCTTTGTCGCTCGTCCTTGCGGCCCCTCTAGTTGTGTTCTTTACTTCCCAATCAACTTGGATTACCTTGCAGGGGGCTCCTTACAGACACCGAGTGTTCCATCTTCCTAGCCTCTTAAGTTGGGCTGTTGTCCTTCGTACACTCGTTGGGGAGCCCGGTGCTTAATTTTATCCCACATTTATCAGTTGAACCTTTGCATTGGGGCTGCTCCCTTGCGGGTACCCCTCTCCGTTTGTTGCGTGTCTTTGCGCTATTCCATTTCCTTGTCCGGTCGGTTGGACTTGGATCCTCCCTGGCCGCCCTCCCAGCGCTACACTGCTCCAGGTTCTCGTTGATTGTGAACCCCGTGTCTTTACTGGCCTGTAGAGAGCTACAGAATGGTGGGCCAAGCGAAGATGCAAGTTTCTGAAGTGGGGAAGGGGTTGGGGATGGGGTTTAGAAGATCCCGAAGAGGTTCTGAAGGGGTCTGACTGCTTCCCGGCCCTGGGGGCCGAGGCGAATAGAAGTCAAACATGTGTAGTATATTTGCTAAGAATCTCCGGGCCACAGGCCAAAATCCTAAGGGCAGGTTCTGAGGGTCACCCTGTTCTCTTCCCCTCCTTTAAGGTCCCTTGAACCTTTGAGGGGATGTTGCTGTGTGAACAGCCGGCTCATGCATATGGGTGCATTGGCTCAAGTTCTTGATAAGTGGTTCAAGACAAATATCCAACTGAAAGCTGTAAAGAGGCAAAAGGACCGTGCTCCACTGTCGCAGTTAGTTGTGAGACAACGCAGGCCATATTATCCTTACAACCCCTATTTACAACGACCCCTACTATACGACTCCATTGTCGAGGGTAGTGGTCACCCCACGGGATTCGAACCCCAACTGCCTTGTCATCGACTACGTGGTTGACTCGCCTCCTGGCAGGTTATCAGCCGTAAGCTTACAATTGGTCCCAGCGGTGGACTGCAACTGCGGTACAATACAACCTTTTGAAATCATATTTACAGCCGTACAATGGATGCTTCCGGAAGCCCAGGAACTGCAACCTTTGGAAATGACAGTTCCAGCGGTTCCACAGGTATGTTTGCTGTGCCGGCAATCGCGGACTCTCCGGACACTCAACAAACTGCAAGTTCTGGTATTAGCCACGACCAATCACATTCATCCTGGAAAGAAGTTGGTCATGCTGTGTGGCCCAGGGACGGAGAAAAGAAGAGATCGTCATCAGCTGCGTCAGCGACACCGAGAAGGAGCGTGAAAGGCGTCATGAGTCCTGTGAAAAAGGAGAAAGGGCGATCAAAATCGCCTACAGGCTCAAGTCCGTCAAAGATCACTCAGGAGAACAAGACCCTCAGACAGGAAGTGGAAGAGGCCAGGCGCAATTTGGCTATGCTACAGGAGTTATATGAACGTGACGACCGTGGCAATTTCACGCGCATTCAGGAACTGGAACGGAGGGCTGGTATGTCGGAACAACAAGTAGCCCATATCCTCAAAAGATCCAACGAACAACTTCAAGAAGCTGCTCAATACATTGACATTCAACGTGGGAAGACAAAACTATCCGAAGATCAAGCGCAACATCTTGTGAGGATCTACGGAGAGTATCAAGAAGAAGCCCAACTCAAAGTCCTCGAGTACGAGAAGCGACATCAAGAGATGGCCGCAACCGTTGATCTACTTGAACATCGAATCAGATGCGAGGAGGAAAGCTCATTGGCTAGCAAGAAGCCAGGCTGAGCAAGAGAGGAGAAGTGTTTCTTCTGAAATTGCACAGTATCAATCGATGATCAACTCCTATCAGGTGAAGATCACTACGGACTCGCAGAACGAGGAGAACACTATTCGTGGTTTGCGTGAGAGATTGGAGACAGCATTGTTGCCACAGCCAACGATGGCGATTGACGAGCCACAAGGTACATTGGTGAGCAAAGCAAATGACGCCATCAGGTACGCCGAACAAGAAGCCAATTGCGCACGGGTTGCCGTGAGCGAACGGGATGAGATGTATCTGATCGGTCAACGTGCAGTGCAGGAACGTGGCGCAAAGATGAATGAGGAGATCAAGATTGCAAGAGATCGAGCTCATAAAGGAAATGCATTACATGATCGCGCCACGCTGAGGGATCGAGAGTTCGACGACGTGACTCGCGAACTCGCTGCATCAAGGCAAAAGGCCAGCGATGCGCAATCCGACTACCTCAATCAAATCGCTGCAATGGCCGAAGAGATTGATGAGACACGGCGAGAGCTCAAATCCAAGAGAGCTTTGTGTATCAGCTGGCAGAGACGAACAAGGAGCTCGAAAGTGAGAACGCCACCCAAAGCATCATTGTGGCGGACCCCAATGATCGTGGACGAGCTCTACTGAGGGATGATTCTGTTAGGACCAGTAAACGCCATAATTCGAAGACCCGTAAGAGTGATACCACAAATGGGCCTCAACAACAAGGTCAGGTAATTGTCTATCAGGCTACTGTGGCAGCTTCTAGTTCTAATGTACAGGTGCCCAATGTTCCAAAGCCAATTGATTACAGGACCGGGTTCTGTTTTGTTTCCTCTTTACCAAGATCCAATGATACAGGCTCATACGACCGAACTCCTTGAAGCAGTAGGATCTATTCCAAATATCACATTTGGTTCAGCCGGCAATAATGGAGGTGGTGGTGGTCACGGAGATGGCGGTCCACCTGGTCTCGGTTATCGCAATACAGATGGAAACGCGGGGGGTCTAGGACGTGTTCCTGTCCCAGCCGCAGCAGGAGGACCAACTGACGATGATGATGATGGAGACGAGGACGACGAGGAAGAACCATCCGATGATGATGACGATGACCGCCGTCGCAACAGGAGATCATCACGAAGAAGGAGGTCGAGGGATCGCAGAAGTCAAAACAATGATCGACCAAGGATATCACGGAAGGAGGCTGAGAAAGTCAACGTACCTGCATTGCCGAAGATCACGAAGCTGGATGGCTGGAAGATGGCACTCACCATGAACGTCACCAGCGCTTCAGCAGATCCTGATATTGAAGTATGGATGTCATGGTTGGCATGTGCTTTCGTGGTAGATCCTGACCTTGATTTCTTAGCCGATTTGGGGGGCGAACGATTCGCAATGATGGATATTAAGTTGGCCCTATCGCTCCAGACGATGCTCAGAAGCGCGCCTGATGATGCGAAGGACGTGGTGCACGATATCCAGCTGCGCGCCGAACGACGCCAAAGAGAAAACAGATTAAGTGACCGATCAGACATGGTTTTCACCATTGAGCATTTGATCAGACTGGAATACCCCGGGGACAAGAATATGTCTGTGTTCCGCAACAAATGGTACGACATCTTGCTCAACCTGAGGAAGGAGGATACACCCAGAGAAATCACGCTCCGGGACATCCTATATCACAAGATCAAAGGAAGCAGGAAGCTGGAATTTGGTCTCAATACCTATGCGCGGTTACCGGATGCACACCCCGAGAAGACCTACCGTTTTCTTGTGGGATTGATTGATCGACAACTTCGGACTGATCGAGCTTGCTGAGCGGCAACAAGAATGCGGCACCAGCAGAAAAGAAGAAGGGAAAGGGAAAAGGAGGGAGTTCCGGGAAGGAAGATGATGGAAACGCAGCAGCACCAGTGCTACCCCAAGCAAAAGCGAAAGACCACGACAAGAAGGGCAAAGGAAAAGGAAAAGGGAAAAGCATGAGCCCTGAAGCGAAGAAGGAATGGCCCTGTGTTTTCCATTACACGAAGGAAGGAGGATGTCTTAAAGGCAAGGATTGTCCATATTCCCACAACCCCAAGCACAAGCACAAATTGGACAACGAGAAAGGCAAGGGCAAAGGCGGCGGCAAAGCGCCAAGGACTCCTTCACCAAAGAGGGACGGGGCCTGCTATGCATGGAGAGAAGGAAAGTGCACGAAAGGGGACCAATGCAAATACAAACACGCTGAACCAGCAAACCCCAAAGCATCCGCTCCAGCGCCTAACGCCAAGCAAGGCAAAGGCACAAGCCAAGCCCAAAGCAGCAGCTCCAGCAATTGTGAGAAAGGTTCACATTGCAACGCCCGCTATCACTGTCAAGAGAGCCGCGACTTCGGAAGCCAAAAAGGGCGACAAGCACGCTGAGGAGAGTGAAGCCGAGGTCGAGACCGTGTATCACGATCGTGATGCAGAAGACGCCATGAGTGAATCTTCGCGGTGGTCAGGTGAGACTGAGATACCCGAGAAGTACGTATGGTTTCAAAAGATTCTTGACAATGACGTGAGTGAAGAGGTGGAGTACCTGAAAAACGAGGACGAACAGTGGCGGAAGAATTCGATGTGGTACAAGGGATTCTATGAGGACATGTCCCAAACATCCTCGAAACCGGTCGACGCCAAGACGTTCAAGACATACGATCATCGACGGCACCTTGCGTATAGTCACAAGAAGGCACTCATCAGAGCCGAGATTATGAGCGAGGCGG